CCCCAAACACACACACACACACACACACACATTCCGACAGGGGTATCCCACTGGGTTCCAGTTTAAATTTACAACTTGTAAGTGGGAAATTCCCACTTCCCAGTATAACTGCAGCAAAAGTAGTCGATAAAAATGCAGCAAAATGTAGGTTTTACACAGTCATACAGTTTATTTTGTGACAATAATTCAGGGATTTTTAACTAAATTACTCAGAGGGTCACAGTTACTCAACAGCTCAGGGGCCGGACAGAAGTCACCAATAGGCCAAATGTGGCCCGCGGGCCTTGAGTTTGACACTAATTACACAGTTTATATGTTTTAAAATAACTTGGATTCTTTCCGCCCGCTGCCTTACCTGTAGTGTCTGGAGGCGGAGCTGCTGAAGCACCTGGCTGAGAGGAGGGAACACGAGCGAGAAGTCGCCCAGAAAGCTTTGACCAAAGAATATCAGGAGTATCGCGTGAATGCCCACCATGAGCTGCGGCACCTGAACGCCTCACAAGAAGAAGAGGTGAGTTTTAACCTCAAACCTCGCCTTAAATCCTGTCAGGGTCAAAGAAACGTGTCACTAAGGCAGGTTTCTGTTGTCTCTCCATTTCAGGACAAACACATTGTGGAGGTGAGAATGAAGAGGTGGAGGAGGAGCTTTCTGAGTGAACGAAGTTTTTTTAACGAACAGTAAGAAGTCCGACCTTCACGAGTTTAGAAGTGAGGTGTACGATTAAAGGGAGTTTGTATCTCCATGAGGTCGCAGGAGGTTCTTCACCTCTCAGAACCAAGAAACTAACCCCCCTGTGAAAACATAACTCCACCCCCCCAGGCAAAGTTTTAAAATTCCAAAAAAGTGGGCGGTGCCAAGAGACACTGAGGGGCGTGGCCTAAAGTGTTGGGGTAAGCGAGGAGGTGTGGTCAGGACGTGGGAACGTGACAGCTAGCTTAGTTTGAGAAACTAGCATTTCTGATTGTTCTACTGAAATTATTTTATTTTGTAAAAAGTAGTTTCATGACATACATGCAAACTGTTAAAGTGGCATTAGCATTAATGCTAACATGGGTTAATGTACAAAGCGGTAACCATACTTTCATTGCAGTGCTCGCTGTTCCAACTCCTGACTCACAGCAGGGGCGTGTCTCTGAGTGAAAGGCCTTTACAACACCTTTAAGACACAACTTAAACAGTTGACCTGAAAAACATAAAGTTGATTTTGGGTTTAGATACTCTTTAAAGTGCCTGCATGCATCAAACACAAAAACTAAAAGAAAACATCTTTACATAAAAAAACTTGGCACAATCTACACGGTTTTACCCATTTTGTTACAGATTTTGTTTTGAATTTGGCTCAACCAAAGTGAAACAGGAAGTGACATCAAAGGGGAACTCTTTAAGTAAAGGAACTTTGGTCTTTGTTTATTGAAACATTATTTGAACTCCTCCTCATCTCTTTGATAGAGACTAAATAATCTAAAGAAACATCAGATTCTTCTCTACAGTCTGTTAGTTGTTGTAGCAACGCTCTGTTCATGTCCAGATATTCCCCTTTGACATCACTTCCTGTTTCTTCACATGCAAATATCTCAACAATCGTTCATCTCAGCGACATGAAACTTTCTTTTACAATAAGTTATCCATGTTAACTTTCCAAAAACACACTCATAATTATTACCAAAATTTGATGTAATAAGCACTTTAAAGTTTTTTTTGTTTGTTTGTTTCCACTTTAAAAGCAACTCACATTGGTGTTTCTACGTAAATTGAGATTATGTCAGAAAACAATCAGGGTTACAAATTACACAATATTTTTTCTGCAATAGCCACACATTCAGAGGCACTTCCTGTTGTTGCCACTAGAGGTCAGGAATTTTCCAGGCATAATTAGAAAAGAGCCAGAAAGTAATTTTTAGAAGAAAGGTTGATCGGTTTTTCTTGAACTGTAACGGGATGGATGGTTGGTGCACTTGCGCTTTGTGTTTTGGAGTTTGCAACATTTCTAACTTGCAGTAAATTTGATGAATGCAGCATTTTTAATTTGCTGCACCCGTCGGCCACCGTACAGGAGAAACCGTAAAACACGACAGTTTGGTTGTTTCTCTAAGGTCGTTTCTGACATCTTGTCACATTGTGTATTTATTTGAGGTTAGATTTAAATAACAGATCAGTTTTATTACGTCCAGATCTGTACCTTTAATGCAACAAAAGTCTTTGTATTAAAGATGCAGAATTTCAACCTGAAGTTTCTTCTTCACTGTTGGAGTATTTGAGTATTTATCTGCTTCTGTTTGTGTGATCTGCTCTGTTCCCAGGTGTCCTGATGGCCTGATCACAACACAAGCTGAAGTTTTCCCCAAAGCCTTTTTTGACGGCTGCTTACCTGATTGACAAGTCAGGGAGACGCTCTGACACAGTCTGACAGAAAGAAACGGAGAGAAGAAGAAGAAGAGAAAGAACTGGATCGTGTGAGCTTCTCCACAGAAACAGAACTATTTTAAACAAACGACGAGAAACGAGCTGCGGGTTCGTGCAGCTCGAAACGGACCGCAGAGGTTTTACTCTGCTTCCTACTGCGTGTGTGTGTGATTGTGTTGACTGAAACAACCCAAACCTGCAGAACCCAACGCGACTCAAAACCAAACCACAACATGATGCCTGCGAAACTGAAACTGAGAGTCTGAGTTCCAGCGCCACCTGCTGGACACTTTGAACCTGTGGTTGTGAAGTCGAGTCTGTGGAAAGTAAAGTGATCTGAGATCAATTAAAGTTAGACAAAGATAATCAGCTGTTCTTGCTGAGGTTAGTGCTGCTGTGACCAACAAGTCCGAGAACAACTAGCAAACCACAAAGAGCACGGTTCTGTGAGCTGGTACAACCCAGGAAGTCAGGTCCTCAAGGTCCAGATAAATCTGAAACCACGTGTCAAAAACAACTGAAGCTGAGTAAAACACAAAACAGATCAGAGACAAAAGCACGTCCTAAAAGCGACAGCAGGCTCTTTCTGCTGGAGCTTTGAGTCCTCCTGGTTGCCTCGGTCTGACCTGAACAGATCCAGGCAGCCAGGAGGGTCGAAGCCAACCCACGAACCCAAACTGTTCTCATGAAGACAGGTTACACAACAAACTGATGATGCTGCACAAAGCCTTTGCATTTCATTAAAAACTTTGAGTTAATTCATCAAAACTTGGTTGGATTTATGAATGAAAGATGGACTGGTCTTTGGAGCTGTTTTGCAAAACTCTTTTGTAAAAAAAAAACAGCTTAAAAACACAGAGTGCCGCAGTCCACAGTGGCTGTTACGGTTCTTAGAGCAACGAGAGCTAAACCGTTAGCAGCTACGCTCCGCAGCATGGGCGCAGGGCACCGTCCAACTTTAACATTTGTTACAAAATGACTAAATTATACCGATTTTAATGATTTAGCTTGAAAACTCATGAAAAAGTGAGACGCTCCTCACTGCACTGTGTTTCTGTGATGTAACAAGGATTGATGCGAAACTTGAGTCAAATGATCCAAACTGCATGTTTCATCCCAACCAGGTGTAAAAACCAGTACAGAAACTGGACAGACTGAACTCCCAGTCTGATGGAGACCAGCTTGGGTTTTTCATCCTGTTTTTGTTGGAAATGATCAGAGTTAAAATCAAACAAGAAATGCTCCGATATTCACTGCTTTTGTAAAAACACTGAACTGAATGAATGATTAAAGTGTTTTTTTATAACAAATATACTTTGTCATCATCTTTATAAAGGCACAACGAAGTCGCTTTGTCTTTTGAAAAATACAGCAGCACGTTAATTTTTATTTGTTTTTATTGATTCAAACAATAAATACACAACAAAATAAATACTTGATGAGGATCATCGAACACTTAAATAAAATCGATTTAAATAACTATAAATAAAGCACCGTCCTGATGGTAAATTTCTGTTGGTTAAACTTTCTCAAGTTTATTTTTACTAAACAATTACTCTGAAACTGGACAGAAATAAAACAAATCCCCGAACACCCAACCCCAAAACAAACAGCAAACATGACCTGCCCAATAATTCAAGCTCAATAATCAATAACCAGTCCAGGGGCGGAGCCAAGCACCCCCAAATGATTGACAAGTGAGGTGGGGATCAGAGTTGGGCGGTTACTAAAAACTGTTGGATATCCAGTGACTGTAACATCGTAATGACAAGTTCCTTGAGGAACTTCGACGAGTTCGCACCAAATTTCAGCTCGATACGTCTAAAAATGTCTGAGTTGAAACCCTTTGAATTTAGGCTCAGCAGCCATCCTGGATTCTGTGTTTGAATCAGATTAGGTTAAATATTGTTTCTCAAACACGACTGCACAAATTATCAGCTGTGTGCGTTTAAAAATAGTTAAACTGTAGCCCTTTGTAAATTAGAAATAGCATTAGTGGTTAGCTTAGCAAGCGGCACGTGTTTACGATCATTTTTAGCCACATTACAACAAATGTCAGCTTAGAAAGTCTTAAAATACCTAAATTATTGTGGTTTAAAATTAATCGTGGTGGCTGGCTTAAATTTTTGATTTGTTTTGAGAATTTGGTAAAGATTGTTTTTAGCTTTTACTAAGCTAATCTTCAGCTTTTTGTGTCTTTGGGTGTGTCCAAAACGGCAGGCTGTGTTCTCCGAAGGCCGAATTTGCTGTATCGCTGATAAAACTGCTGTARTAGCTGCAGTTCTTCAAAAAATGTGGATCAAGATGAAGAAAAAACTAGCTTCGACTTCCATTGTTAGTTCTTGAAGCGTGAACATGGTTGCTAGGTGACCACACTTACGCTGGGTAAGAGCGGGAATGAAAGCCGAAGGCTAGACCGTCCAAATTCACAGCGACTTTCTTCCGGTCTTCCCGGTCTACTAAGGACCCGGCCCACCTCGACGGGGTAGGCTGGGTCCTTCGGAGGACACGGCCTGTCGTTTTGGACACATCCTTTGTAACATTTGCTTTAGCGGTTAGCTTAATTTGGTATTAGCAATCACACAAAGTTCCAGCTGAATATTTATCACTATAACAGTTGAAATTAGCAGTGGCGGCCATCTTGACTTTTCAAATTAAGATCTCTCCTCTTTACGTGTATGTGCACCCCCCTCCCCCGCACCTCGGTGCCACCCCTATGCAAAACCAGTCATGTTAACTGATTTATAGAATTAATATCCTTCTTTTCTCTGTAAATAAGTCCTGTTTTCACAGGTGAATGGGGTTTTCTCAGCGTTTCTTGTCCATACAGGTGCAGGCCTTTAGAAAACACCTGATTTTTTTGATTTTTTAATTTTTACTTTGTATTCCCCTAACCCTAACCCTAACCCTAACCCCGTACCCTAACACCAGCCCATCTTGTGAAGACCCCACGTGTCTGCTGAAGGTTTCCACCAGAAAGCCATCGGCCGTTCTTCATTGCTGGACCACCACCTTCTGCCTGACGCAGGTGCAGCCCACCGAGATGAGTTTGGACTCCAGGCGGTAGTGGTAGTCGTGCCCCGCCCCCGCCGCCCTGACTCGCCTGAGGACCAGCACCTGATGCATGATGGGACGGGACTTCAGGTTGGAGTCCTCCAGGCCGTCCAGGCCCAGGCAGCCGTGCAGCAAACAGTGCGCCTCCGACAGGGCGTTGGGGAACATGGAGTCATCCCTGGAGATGCTGCAGAGACAGAACAGCTGTAAACATCTGGTTTTAATCGTTAATGAAACGGTTCAGACGAAGCCTCACTTGTAGGACCACGGAGAGATGGAGTCGTTCGCCAGAGAGCTGAGTTTAACGCTTGGGAGTAAAGTGTTCGAGTCCAAACGCAGACGGACAGTTTCTTCTGAAAATACTGGAAACCCCTTGTGTGGCTTCGCTGCTGCCTGTGTCATCATCATCATCATCATCATCATCATCATCATCATCATCATCGGGACACCACTGACAACCTGAGGAAGTAGAAAAAAACTAAATAATACTCATACAGCCAATGTTTTACTTTAAAGATTTCACATAAAATGTCTGTTTCTGCACCGTTTGTACCAACAAAACAAATATTTTATTACCAAACCGACTTAAACACTTTCAAATCACTTTGTAAGTTTTATTCATTTAAGTATTTTTATTTCAAAAAGCATTTTAAAGATGTATTTGATATTCTACAAACTTAATAAAATACTAACAAACAAATAAATAATACTCAAAAAGACAGATACAATAAATTTAATTAAAAATACGCGAAAGGTTTCCACTCAATTAAATGAAGTAAAGCTAACATATTTACTTTATGTTCACTTAAAGTCAATGTAAAGTAAATGTGTTACCTTTACAGCTGAGGGGAAACAGTTGATTTATTATTTTTAATTAAGACTACATCTTTTTTTGAGTGCAGAAACTGTGAAATTATGTATTTATTTCCTGTATAAAATAAACTAGAACAAAAAATACATGTTTTCTTTTTTCTGCAAAAGTTTAATTGTAAAATCAGTTTTAATAATGTAAAGAGTATTTGTAGTGAATCAAAGCTTAATTTTTTATGTGAAATTTGGGCAAAATTTTTACACTTTGAATCATAAAAAAATACATGCATGTTTTTAAAATCACACACACACACATGTATACACACATATATACATACGTGCATACATATATATATTTTTAAATAATTAATTAAAAACTGTTTTAATTACATCATAATTGCCTCTTCAGCTCCTATTGGCTGAGAGGGGTCTCAGCTGATCACAGCCATGTTTTAACAAACTTTAAAAATCCAGATGTTAACCCTCGCTGTAATGATGACAGATTCTCAGTGTGAGCTGTCAATCACTGCCTCAGACAACAAACACACCTGTTCAGGTAAATTTCTTTTCTTACCGTCAGTTTGGAGGAGTTCGATGCTGCAAACATGCTGTTTCTTTTTGGGGGGGTCTGTCAGGTTCTGAGGATCTGGTCTCGTTTGTCCAACCTGTCCTGATCGTTCAACAATGAAGGCTCCCAAGGCTCAGCTGGAGATCAGGTTCAGGCTGCAGGTTGTGGGCTTCTCCTCTGCTGGTGTTTCTGATGGATTCCAGATAAAGCCGCTCTGATCTTTATACAAGCTGGCGACGGGTGAACACTTCCTGTGATGATGTCACCACCTTTGATCCTCCTCTGCAAACCACAGCGTCCCGAATGCATGACGAGGCTCGATTATCGACCCACTTTCACACTTGGCTCGAAGCTTCAGTGGTTCGGCAACAAATTTTTGCAGCAGTTTTTTTGTAGGTCACATCGTAGTCTGCAGAAAAAAAAATAATCAGTTTGACTTCAGGTTGTGGTGTTGCTAATTATTTAAATATATTCATCTCTCAGTTTGTTGTTCATCAAAACAGTTTGAACAAACTTCAGCCCTGGTTGATAAGCTGCAATAAGCACGTCACCTGCTCAGAACGGATAACATTTTGTTTGCAAAATGCTTCAGACTGTCAGCTGGTTAATATGAGGCATAAAGCCACTAAAGGTAAATTTTAGAGAAAATGACCTGGGCTATGATAAAGGAGACTGGACTCCGGTGGTAGCAGATTGTTGCATTCCAACGTATACGGCACTGGTAACCCACTAGGGGGCACTGTCGGGACAGTCTGAAACCATTCTATGGGACTGATAACTGCTAATAACGTCCATTTAATGGACTGATAACATCCGAACCGGCTGACTGTCTGTGTTAGAGCGGTGTTCGTCCATCACTGGTGGTCTTGTGTCTGATATCTCCTGAATGAAATTACATATTTACTTATAAAGAGACATAGTAACTCAGTTAGGGTAGTACTCAGTCTGATTAGATTTGGGCATCAAAGGATCAAAGGTAATTTATGATGATTGGTAATATAAAACTGAAATTTTTCTCATTCCTCATCAGTTCAAATAAAATGGTTAAAAAAGGAAACAAATTATTATTTTGTGATACAACCCTAACTTAATTTCATTAAAGTACTGAATTATATTAATTTTCCACTCTTGATATATATAAATAAACCACAGAGAACTGTATGCTTGTGGTGCAGTAAATATGATGACTTGTTCTAATGTTGTGTGCTGTAACAGCAGCCTTATTGATCAAAGTTAAATGAATCTGGTGAACCTGGTTTGTCTCATTCAGTGTGACATATATGACACGTCTGCTTTATGTGTAAATTGATTAATCCAGAGGTTCTCAAACTGTCGTTCCAGGACCCTCAGAGGTCCGCGAGCTGTCACTTGGGGGTTCTCCAAAAATTATCGTAAACTGTTTATTTTGCTTTTCATTAAAAAAAAAACAACATGAATGCATAAGAGGAACAATGCACAAGTAAAACACACACACTCAACCAAACGAATAATAATTATTCTCATGGCATTTAGGGGTTAAAATGTCAGTAAATCAATTTTAAATCAGCATGAGGTTAATGAGGGGGTTCCTGGAATGTTTTCATCTCTGTAAGGCGTTCTCAGACCCAAAAAGTTTGAGGAAACCCTGAATTAATCACCCTCTAGATAATTATCTTTGGTTTACAAAGTGGTGTTTATTGGTCATTAACAATCAGTCAAACTATTGTGTTAGCTTATAAATGACTGTGCATTTATTTATTTATTTTTATTTTTCACAACCAGTATTCTGTTCTATTAATGCCTTGGTGTTAAAATTTCAGAACACTGTAAGTGTTTTGTTATATTAATAAAATATTTTTCCTTCATGTGAGCCTTTCAATCTGTCCTATAATACTGTCCATTAAAATGTGTCTTACTACAACCTCCAGGAGAGTGGTTTGTGCACTCATGCTAACGCTAATATCTGCACAAAGTTGTGCTTCAAAGGCAGACGTGTCCAGGACAGGCTTCGAGTTTCACCTTGTTCTGTTAGTTCAACTTGTTTCATTTCAGTCCTCTGACTCGAGTGTAAGTAAGTAAACTTTATTTCTATATCACTTTTCACAGACACAAACATCACAAAGTGCTTCACAGAAAGCAGAAATAATTAAAAACAATAAAACAGATCACAGATATAAAAACAACAATTAAAACACAATAAAAAGCACATTAACTAAAAGCCTGTTTGAATAAAAATGTCTTAAGATGTTTCTTAAAGAGTCAGTAGAATCTGAGCAGCGAAGGGACAGAGGGAGAGCGTTCCAGAGCCTCGGGGCCACCACCTGAAAAGCTTTGTCTCCACGGGTTTTATAATGGGTTCCAGGGACCACCAGCAACATTTGATTACAAGACCTCAAAGTCCTGGATGGACAGAGAGGCTTCAGAAGGTCCACGATGTATTTGGGGGCCTGACCATGAAGTGCTCTGAAAGTTAAAACTAAAATTTTAAAATGACTCCTCAAAGTCACAGGGAGCCAGTGCAGAGAGGCTAGAACAGGTGTAATGTGGGCTCTCCTGTAGGTCTTTGTTTATAACCTCGCTGCAGCTTCTGCACAGACTGAAGCCCAGTCAACGAGGATTTGTTTARACATGTAAAAAGACTGTTGCAGTAATCTAAATGAGAAGAAATAAAAGCGTGAACAACCATCTCTAGTTCCTTCTGTGACACAAAACAACTCAGCTTTGAAATGTTCCTTAAATGATAAAAACAGTTACGAACTAAAGTTTTACAATGACTGTCAAAAGACACAGAACCATCAGAGACAACACCCAGATTTCTGAAACTATTTTTCACTGAAGGGGTTAAAAAAACAAGGTGCTGCCTGATTACAGGGATTTTATCATCAGGGGCGATAATAAGAGTTTCAGTCTTGTTTGCATTTAACTGCAGGTAGTTGTTGTTCAGCCATGTTTTGACTTCTGACAGACAGTTACTGAGTTCAGATAGTTTGAAAAACTCAGAGGGTCKARAGGAACAGTACAACTGTATGTCATCAGCATACAGATGGTAGGACACATTACTGTAACRTTTTAAAATACCTCCTAAAGGCTACAGGTACAATAAAAAGAGGACTGGACCCAAAACTGAACCTTGAAGTGGAGGAGTTAGTGTTTTGTTCATGAGTGGAGCAGGAGATGGAGCCACGGATTGGGACCTCGTCCTCTGTAATGAGGGGGTTGCTTCGGTCGGTCATGGTGAAGAAAGTCACTGGTCATGAGGCGTGGATTATAACAGAACCAGATCCTGGATCAAAGTGGTCAACCTTTATCAGTTCCTGTGCCTGTCTGCAGTCCATCAGCTCCCTCCAGCAGACTGAGTGTTCACTCTGATCCAGACCTGCAGGGCCGTCCTACAGACTGTTGTTGATGCACCTACAGCAGGCTCTGGTTCTTTGAAGTGGACCTGACTGCAGCTCTCGTTAACATTAATGCCAGTACGTCCTACAATAACATGGTTTTACTGCTTCCTGATTCATAATAAACTGGTTTCGTTTATAAATCCCTGTCCAGAACCAGCTGTGGCTCCTGCAGCTCAGAGAGGTTTTGGGACCTTCTGCAGGATCTGACTCGACAATCTGACCTGGTTTTGCAGTTGTCTTGTGACTCAGCTGCCTCAGAATGCTGCGTCATCAGATGTTTGGTGTTTGTTGCAGCCCACGCCGCGCCTCCTCTTTAACCTACTTTAGGGTTTTTGAGCTTATCTTTGATCAAAAGTGTTTCCTGAACATCTAATATCTGCAGATCTCAGCTGCTTCGTCTGTCTGTTCTCGTCATCTGTGCAAAACTTCAGCGCCATTTATGGACTTTTAGCTTGTGCTAATTTCTCTCAAATGTTGGTTATATTCATATACGAGTCTACAAATACGTCCCATCATCATCAGCGTATATAAATACACTATTTTACCAACATTATTTGCTCACCCATCCAAATTTCTGTGCACCAGTGCACAAAGCAAGGTCCATAAAGACATGGATGGAGAGTCTGACTTGTCTGCACAGAGTCCTGACCGCAACCCCAATAGAACACCTTTGGGATAAATTAAAACGGAGACTGCGAGCCAGACCTTCTGTCCAACATCAGTACATGACCTCACAAATGTGCTTCTGGAAGAATGGTCAAAAATCCCCATAAACACACTCCTAAACCTTGTGGACGGCCTTCAGAAGAGTTGAAGCTGTTCTAGAGGACGGACCAACGTCATATGTGGATTAGGAATGGGATGGCACTGATGCTCACATGTGAGTCAAGCAGATGAGTGAATACTTTTGGTATAGTGTATTTAGAGTACATGTTCTCTTTTAAAGAGATCACAGAACAATTAAAATTTTGAATGAGCTATAAACAGACTGTGCTACATCTTTGTGTCGTCAGTCTCTGAGCAGAACCAGAACGAGCCGTCGTCTGCAAACATGAATATGATCAGTCTGTATAAACCTGCAGCAACATAAAGGATCGTTCAGGAAACCAAAACCAACCCTAAAGAGTAGTTACTCTAAACATTTTGTGAAATAAAAAAACAGTAAAATCCGTCGTCTAGCTTTCACCACTGTCACAAACTGGGTCAGTCGTTCAAACTTTCCGTGTGATGCGTTTGAAGGAAGTCGTCTTTCTAGGACTGCTGCTGCTGACTGGAAACTCTTTCAGAGTCTCTGCAGGAGGGACTTTCTGAACTCACCACCACCTTTGACGTGGTTTCAGAGAACCACAACCTGACTGACATCCAGGAACTAAACATCTGATTCAAAATCACTTCGGCCTCCCGCAGCTCGGCCCGCGGCCCACAGGAAGTGGAACGTTTTACGGGGCCGGAAATTTTTCCCAATGCGGCGACTACTGATTTAATCTGGAACCAGAAACATAAAGGAATTAAAAAGTTAATCTGTTGATTGATGTTAAATAATCTAAATACTTCATCTTCCAGTTTCCACTGTGCACAACTCTTCATCCGACTGGAACTTGCTTTAAAACTAGATACTGCAGAGTGGGAGCATATATGACCCCCGCACTTAAAACAGCAATGCACCAGAACTCAGAAGTCATCAGAATGGATTTGTTGTTTTGGGTGGGGGTCTGTGGGGGGTGAGGGTTCTCATTAGTGGGCCTGATTTGCTAAACAACAACAAAAATCTGAAGCTCCTGTTGTTAAATAGTTTTAGAGTTACAGGCAGTTTTGTATGACCAGACACACCCTTTAAAGATGGAGCCCCCTCCTCAAATATGGGGTCTATAAAACCGTTGGCTGGTCCAGTGTAGGTCGGACACATCTACATTCCTCTCAAATTTCACAAAAATCAATGCAGCCATTTCTGTGATACAGTTGATAATAAAGGTTTTTAGGTTCAGTTGGTTGCTTGTTTAGGTTCTCACTGATGGGCTGGATGGAAATAACCTGTTAAAAGTGAGATAAGAATATAATAAATAGTAATAAAAAGTTAATTTTAAATTTATGATTCGGGCTGTCAGGTCCTTGTACGACCGGTGTCAGAGTCTGGTTCGCATTGCCGGCAGTAAGTCGGGCTCGTTTCTGGTGAGAGTTGGACTCCGCCAAGGCTGCCCTTTGTCACCGATTCTGTTCATTACTTTCATGGACAGAATTTCTAGGCGCAGCCGAGGTGTTGAGGGGATCCGTTTTGGTGGCCTTAGGATCGCATCTCTGTTTTTTGCRGATGATGTGGTCCTGTTGGCTTCATCGGAACGAGATCTGCAGCTCTCGCTGGAGCGGTTCGCGGCCGAGTGCGAAGCGGCCGGGATGAGGCTCAGTGCCTCCAAATCCGAGGCCATGGTCTTGAGCCAGAAAAGGGTAGAGTGCCTTCTCCGGGTCAGGGGGGTCGCCCTGTCTCAAGTGGAGGAGTTTAAGTATCTGGGGATCTTGTTCATGAATGGGGGAAGAAGGGAGCGGGAGATCGACAGGCGGATTGGCGCAGCGTCTGCTGTAAAGCGGGCGCTGTACCGGTCCGTCGTGGTGAAGAGAGAGCTGAGTCAGAAAGCGAAGCTCTCGATTTACCGGTCGATCTACGTTCCTACCCTCATCTATGGTCATGAGCTTTGGGTCATGACTGAAAGAACGAGGTCCCGGATACAAGCGGCCGAAATGGGTTTCCTCCGCAGGGTGGCTGGACTCTCCCTTAGAGATAGGGTGAGAAGCTCGGTCATCCGGGAGGGACTCAGAGTAGAGCCGCTACTCCTCCACGTCGAGAGGAGCCAGTTGAGGTGGCTCGGGCATCTTGTAAGGAAGCCTCCTGGACGCCTCCCTGGTGAGGTGTTCTGGACACGTCCCACTGGGAGGAGGCCCCGAGGAAGACCCAGGACACGCTGGAGGGACTATGTCTCTCGACTGACCTGGGAACACCTTGGAGTTCCCCCGGAGGAGCTGGAAGAAGTGGCTGGGGAGAGGGAGGTCTGGGCCTCCCTTCTGAAGCTGCTGCCCCCGCGACCCGACCCCGGATAGGAGGAAGAAAATGGATGGATGGATGGATGGATGTAACAAGGTTTATTTTGTGAAACAAATTAACGAAGTAAAATATAATAATGCTTGTTCACACAACAATGTTTCTGCTACCTTTATTATTATTATTATTATTATTATTGTTATTATTATTATTATTATTGTAAACAGTGCAATTAGGATTTGTATTTTTCAGTTTTATAGTCTCCCCATTAAGACCTACTAACGGTTACATGCTCTGATTCTTGGAGGAATGTTAGGATGCTGTTATTCACCTGAATAGTTGAGTAAATATAAAGTTTGTATATAAAACTACTGAGTTCTGTATAAAAAGAGGAATACATCGTGCTGTCTGGTCAGGTAATAAAGAAAACAATCTTTCTGAACCACTGAATTGATATAAAAGCAACAATTTAAATAGAGTTTGAAAATAGTCGAGGTTTGACAAACAGAATATTTTACTTTATTTGTGCCACCTGAAAAAGCCCTGCCCACCCTTTTTGCCCCCCTTGTATAAAAGTCTAGCTCTGCCACTGCTGTGTGCCACGTTTACGCCCACTGACCTCATCTTTTGTCTGCTCCTCTGAATCTAATGATCACTGAAACTCTTCTGAAGAAGAATCAAAACATTGAGGTCTGATGAACAAGAGCGACACCTCGTGGCCAGGTGGAGCACCAACACTGTTTCAATCCACATCAGCAATTAAAGTTCAGAAGAAAAAAAACTATGGTTGTTTTAATCTGCTGATGTGTTTGTTCATTAGTACTAATGAATAATTAAATCATTATATTCAAAGAGCTGCTGTTGGAGGCCACAGTACACCTCCAAAAGTGTAAAAATTAGTAATACATTTGTTTAAAAAAAATCTTGTGCATGCACACTCATCCATGCCCCCCTAATGAAAACGTTTTAGATAAGTCCAGAAAAATAATTATAAAATACAGATTATTTTCAGCTGCTTTACCACAACAAAACCTGATTTTTGCCAAAGCTTGCTCATTGGTAAATCATATAGTTAGGGGTGGCTTGGATGTACTGAGATACCTCTTATTTATCCTCCTGTAGGATTAGAACAGGGACAAGCAACTGGTGGCCCACGGTCCACATCTGGCCTGTGGGTGACTTCCGTCCAGTCCGTCAAATGTTTTTGTTTTATTTTAATAAACAGCATTCAGATCTCCTAAAATCTAAGAGATGCTTTGGGTGTTTTATTTATAAATATATATAT